CCAGCTGCGTCAGAATAGAGAACGACCCCTCCGAGCCGCTTGATACCAACCGATGTTTCAGGCAAGGTGACTCCCTCTCTTGTGATTTCGTTAATCTAATGTTGGAGAAGATAATAAGAGCCGCAGAATTGAAACACTCCGGCACAATACTTTACAAGAGCATACAATTGCTGGCGTATGCCGACGACATCGATATTATCGGTAAAAACAAGGGCTACGTCTGTTCTGCCTTCTCGGGATTGGATAGAGAAGCAAAGCGAATGGGTCTGGTGGTGAACGAGGACAAAACGAAGTATCTCCTGTCAGCACACAAACAGTCAGAGCATACGCGTCTTGGCACCCACGTCACTGTTGACAGTTACAAGTTTGAAAAAGTAGACGACTTCGTTTATTTGGGAACCAGCATTAACACCAATAATAATGTCAGCCTTGAAATCCAACGGAGAATCACTCTTGCCAACAAGTGCTACTTTGGGCTGAGTAGGCAATTGAGAAGTAAAGTCCTCTCTCGACGTACGAAAACCACACTCTATAAGTCACTCATCATGTCTGTGCTGGTGTATGGCGCGGAGGCATGTACAATGAAAGCATCTGATGAGGCGGCTCTTGGAGTTTTCGAGAGAAAGATTTTGCGAAATATTTGCGGACCTTCACGCGTTGGTGATGGTGAATATCGCAGACGATTTAACGATGAGCTGTATGAGCTTTACAACGATATAGACATAGTGCAGCGAATTAGAATTCAGCGGCTCCGCTGGCTTGACCATGTCGTTCGAATCGACAGAACGCTCCTGCTCTGAAAATATTCAACGTGGCCCGCGATGATGGTAACAGAAGAAGACCAGGTGGTGAAGGACTTGGCTTCACTTGGCATTTCCAATTGGCGTCAGTTAGCACAGAATAGAAATGACTGGCGTGCTGTTTTGGACTCGGCCAAAATCGAGTAGGCGGTTACAGCGCCAATAAAGAAGAAGAAGTTATTTAGGTTAGGTTAGGTAAGGTGACAGCCCCGTGTAACCGGAGCTCACTTAGACAATGTAAGATTGCCCTTTTGTGATAACACAATTTGGAACGGCCCCCAAACTTTAACGTTAAAATGCTCCCAGCCGATTATGTATTTACGAATACGGCTGATCTTAATGCCCCAGAGCTCCTCGGGGCTATTTAGAAAGTGAGAGCCAAAGTACGTCAACCTTAGCCTCGCAAACGCTGGGCACCTAAGAAGGTAGTGTTGAGGTGATTCTACCTCGTCCATTTCCAGGCAACTGCGACAGAAGGGGTACGGTTATTGCGTGAATACCGAAAGGACACTGGTCTGTTAAAACCCCCACCAGAAGTAAGGGCTGTGGCTTTGTGAGTGTGAGGAGTGCCCTCGACTGCCCCCGGTCCACCCTTGGCCAAAAGGACCTTGCAATCTCGCATGTTGTGGTATTCGCCCAGTGCTCGCTGAGCTGACATAAGGATCCATCCAAGAATGTACCGCAAGTGATCAATGGCACCCCCATCCGTAAAGAAGTTCAGCGTACCCCTCCTCCAGAGGTCCCGCACGGCCCACTCATCCCTTGAGGGAAAGTTGACAGAGAAGAATCTCTTAGGAGCCGTATCGTTTGTGCAGTAACCCGTACAATCCGGGATGAAATCGAAGCCTCCTAGAACTCCAGAGTGTCCAGTCTCTAAGTTGGTCAACAAATCGGCTTCCCTTCCTGTTTGAGGTAATAAAAGTGTGTATATTACCAATATTACAGATAGCTTTATTATATAATATAAAATCAAGTAAAAACTCACTTCTTTGGTTGATTTCAGTATACCCATCATACCGCGTGATGCCCCTTTGCATCGGCCCCGATAACGATGGGAAACTTCATCTTTGGTCTTTGCGATCGTAGGCTATGTAGATCGAGACCAGCCATAGTTTCATGGATTTGCTTTCTACAGAGATGCTGACCGCGTCTTCATCGCTGAACTGTGCGAGTAAATCATAAGATATGTCGTCACTAGACACGAATAAAGGCGCGCCATTGCTTTAACGGCAAAAAAGGACGCATTGACAGAAAAAGGCGCGTATAAGAAATTTCGGCGAAAAAAACGCGCAAACCTACTAGTTGACGGTGAAGAAAGATGCGTAAACATAGATCTATACCTTGCCAATGACTGTCTCTTCAGCATTATTCACAAAAAAATTCTTTGGGGAATGTACACACTATTACACCCGAAACATAGTTTACGCGAAAATAAGTTTACGTGTCTTTCTTCGCCGTCAAATAGGTTGAGGCGTATTTTTTTGCCGTCGGCTAGGTTTAGGTGCCTTTCTTTGCTGGAGTTTTACATTTCTTGATTAATATAGTACATGCTCTTATCTTATCTGCCACTGGGTTCGACACTAAGTGGTAAGCGTCAAGTTGAGTCCGCAAACACTGTTATTTACAACTCAGGCTTTCTGGACAAAAATTAGATCCGCCCCTTTATCGCTGGGGTGAAGGAACAGAGCTGCGAAGCAGCGTTAGAGTGTTGAAGGTTTATCTGTAGAACCTTCATCCACAGCTTACGGAAGTTCGACCCCGTCCATTACTTCTGGAGCAGTTTCTTCGAACGTCTTGACGATGGTATCATCGCCCCCCTCTAATTCCGACATTAGAAGCCAGTTTCCGAATTCCCTCGTTCACCGGCTAAGTACCGACCCTTTACCAGAAACAGATTGTGTATTGCTCTATATTTCCACTGCCAAGTCTAGCCTCACCACCGGACAAGTGGCCTCGGCGGCATTTTTAAAGCTTCCTGGAAAGTCTACGTTTGACACGACAGATGTATTGGCCGTGCAGGCTCCGCTGGAAACCCAGATGCTGGTTGCTCGCTACCCACCAGGCGTTTAGAGCTGCTGACTCCAGACGCAACATACTGTTCTGAGAGCCGTTTAGACAACTTCGAGACTGATATTACTTATTTATTTATATATTTAAATCAATGCTAGCCGAAAAGAGAAAATCTTAAAATGAGAATGTATTAGTTATGTTACACAAAAATGAGAATGTGTTGGTGGTAATGCACAAAAAAAATGTATGTGTTGTATTACTTATTATAAAAACTTCGGTCTGTTTTTTTGGTGTTATTTTATAGCTAAACAACATAGAAACACAAAACATTGAAAGAAGGTTAACGACCCCAAGAAAGAAAAAAGTTGTTAAAATTTTTTATGTACTTTAATTTCTTTGGGGATAATTTAAATGTGGATTTCTGAGCAAAAAAGCTAACGTGCTTCGAGCACTCTGAATATTAAAAGAAAAATTCGTTTATTTCAAGTACAAATTAAATAAATATATGCTTATTTTAAAATTAGGTAAAGCTTGACATTTAAGAACAATTTAAAATAACAATCAAACCAAAAGGTAAATAACAAAACATATTTTGTGTTTTAATTAAAGACTAGTCTGGTATTAAAAAAAATATAAAATTAACATAATTCACATAATTACATAATTTACTCAGTGTGCCTATTTTATTCAACAATAATGCAACATCAACCTGCTACGTCTAATGTTTGCATGCAACTAAATAAAATTTGTTGCCCTTCTACTCTTTCTGTTGACGTTCGGATTGTATACGTGTAACAGGCAAACCTAATATTCACGCACGCCGGCAGTTTATTGTCAAAAATTTCTCATGCACATACAACTTGTATGGGCCCAACCGAAATTGAACGGCGTGCGTAAAAAGCTAACTCAAATTCCAAGATTAGTATTGCGTGACATTTCGATTTGACGTTTGTGCTCATTTGACATTTTGGAGGGACTATGAATTCAAATTTCGCTCAACAAACTTCTGTAAATTTTATGGAAATGCAACTCTGATAAATCACGCACGCAAATTGATTTCGGTTAATCAAATGAGAAAAACTTGCGTGCGTGCGTAGAAAAACACACGCCGGTAATATTAGGTTGCGCTGTAAGAAGGCGATTGGGTACATGTGAAAAGCCGAATATATTTCGTTTCCCAGGAAAGTGTTTGGCGTGCATTGATTTAAATTCATATTTGTGGTTCGTTGGTCGCCTACTCAGCCGAATCCGTTCGACGATCGAATAAATAGGTAAGGGGAACTAGCGGTAGGCCACAGCAGAGCCCCGTGCTGAGGTACCGTTACTTCCGGAGGCGGACATGTATCCCGGATGCGGCGTTAGGATGACGCATGACACCCTGGAATAGGGGGAGAGGTTAGAATCGACACCCTCCGGGTCTAGATCCATAGTGTTCTGTGGAAACAGGGTCAGCTCTTGAAGGATGCGATAACGCGCACTATGGTCTTGATGTGGGAGTGCCTATAAATATAGAAACAACTACATATGTGCTGTTATGCTTCATACACACCTTGCATTTTCTTAACTCTGTCGTCTATATTAGCTTTTCACGTAAGCTTCCTATCTGAGTCCTAGATATTTAAAATTCTCCTTCAAAGGAATCTCCACACCCTAGAAAATAAGTGGGGAGAATTCAGTTGAATCGGGGGTTTATTCGGAGTCTCCTACTAGGAGGGAGATAAATGTGTATGAGTCTCCAGCGTCCGATTTCTTCCTGGCTTAAGAAGGGGAGTGATACTACTCATTAGCCCCATCTTGGGACAGGATGGACAGGGGGATGGAATTTTGACCGCGTGAATTAAGGCCGCCTTCTTATTTGTTTGCTAAAATGAATTATTTTCGCGCGGCCTAATTTCACTTGTCAAAATGAATTATGCCCGCGCGGCCTAATTTTATTTTTTGATCGCGGCCTAATTTCACTTGGCAAAATGAATTGTGTTCGTGCGGCCTAATTTGATTTTTTGATCGTTTTTGATTGGCAGAATTAAGTTATCCGCATAAAATCACAAATAAATTTTATTTTTCATTTGGTCGACAAATCAAACCACAAAATAAAGAAAGGTGTTATCCGCAAAAGATGTTCCGCGCCCCTCTTCTTCGGCAACACAGAAAGGAGAATCCTACTTAGTGAGGGTAATAATCCCTAAGCGCGGCCGAAGGCCGCCTACGCAGAAACGTGTTCTACAAAAGGTGTGAGCTCCTCTTCTTCGGCAACACAGAAAGGAGAATTCCACTTAGTGAGTGTTATAATCCCTAAGCGCGGCCGAAGGCCGCCTACGTAGAAAAGTGATCTATGTGGGATGGAATTTTTACCGCGTGAATTAAGGCCGCCTTCTTATTTGTTTGGCGGCCTAATTTCATTTTTTGACCGCGGTCTTAATACACGCGGCCATAATTCACGGAGCCGGTGGACAGTGATAAGTTGAATGCGGAGGTGATTTACTCAACTACCGCATTCCCTAGCTTATTCAGCATCTGCGTGGAAATTTCACCTGTGCCTTCCGCTTTGGCGTTGTTGACGGTGGCATGTGCCTCTTTCGTTGCAAAGGACTTTGTTGTGTATCGGGCGGAGCTTTCGAGCTTTGTGTAGCTTACTACGGCGGGCTTTGTCTCTCTCTGATCATGCAATGAATTGCCGGCTGAAGTGCGCGAACGTCTGCGGATCCAACGTTGCGGTATTGCCAAATGTAAGGGCAACCGCTGTCCTTACGTTTCATCCGATGGGAAAGAATCTTAACTGTCGTCCACAGTTTGGTTGCTCCGCAGGGTTGATTGCAAGTCCGGAGATGCTAATTGCCATGTTGACATCGCTGATGCAGGAAACCCCAGGATTAAGGCTCAGTTATGCATACTTGGCATTGCATGAGAGTTGTCACATAAGAAATCTTTTAAATGAGATTTGCGTGTAAGAGATTACTCAACGCACAGCATTACATATGTAAAAGTCTGTTGATTTTTGACTTCTACTGAAGTGCAGTGCAAAGTATGCAGAACTGAGCCTTTAGCCAGTTGGATTTGCTCTTGCACGTCTGCGAGTCCCTGGGCGGATTTTAGCCATCCTGCCGGCTGCTGTGTTGATGATCCCGCGGAAGTTTTGGTCAGTTATGCGCGCAAATGATTGCAGTGTAAAAGTGTTGAATTTGCGGTCGGTATATTCTGTAAAACTGTGCCCGTTGGCCTTCCCGGGTGCTTATGTACGGTTCTCGAATAAGAAAAAGCTATAGGCTGGTCTAACGCGATTACTAAGGGCATGTGGTTTGACGCGAGAGGTCGGTACCGCGTTATACAATATAAGGCGATGTCGCCTCCCGCGCCGATCTCTTCCAAGAAAAGTAAAGTCATCCTAATTCAGACGCTTCGAGCCCCAGTGGTGTTCAATCTCCTGGACGGCCGAGTCTGAAATTTTATTACTCCTCATAAAACTGACTATCTCATCGATCTTACCTTGAAGACCGTTGCAATTGAACTGCAATAGTATGACCGGTTTTAGCCTGGTGATTGTTACGCGTGTGGTAACAGTGCTGGTTGTGGACCAAATGGTGCAACCGCTGGTGTTATCACCGGCCTGTGCATCGGTTTCGGTGTATGCTGCGATTGGCGGTGGGTGTTGTGAGTAAGCCGCAAGTTGCAGCACTCCACGCACGATGGTTGTACCAATTATTGAATGCACCTTAAAAATGTTGCATTGGGCCTCACCAGATTGGTGCTAACGCTGCAGAACCATTTGTGCTGAGTGAATGTCCTGGGTTGCGTGCTGGGAGTTGGTCCACTGGTTAATGGTTGGGTGGGAGCTTGTGCAGAGCGCCGCGTTTGTAGTGAGTTGTTGCGACACTATGTAACACAGTTGGCGCTCCTTTCTGTTGTGCCGCACATCCGAGCATGCTTTTAGGCGGTACCAGTTGTTGCAGCTTAAAGAGTTACATATGTATATTTGTGCGCCAAACACTACATGTCCACGGCACGATGCTTTATTTTATGTATTAGGAGTATGCGGAGCAGACTTGCTCGTAGGCCATGCTCCCATGGCAAAAAAAGGCTGCTATAGTGGTGGTCGTTGGTCGGAGATGGTACTCCGTGTCAATCCGATAAACGTAGAACCGACCATATTGGAATTGATTCTACCTTGCATTCTTATTACGAAAAAATTAAGAGAGGATGGAAGCGTTGCCTTGAAGCTATGATCACAGACAATGCTCCGAATCTTAGAATTGCTAGCTGGCCATGAAATAAGTTCTTGTAAAACACATGTTTAATCCAGAAGTCGGGTTTTATTTTAATTAAGTTAATGATGAGAAGTTACACTTATAAACTTATTTCAATAGAAACTTAGTTTAATTTATCCTAATCAGCATGTAGCACTTTCTGGGGTAATGTACCGTGAGTTTTCATATGACCACAAAGTCCCGAACTTTGCGCAAAACGTTTTCCACAAAATTTGCATGTATATTTCTTTTCCGCGTTGTGAATCAGCTGATGCTGTCGCAATTGCTTAACATTTTTAAAGCCCTTCTTACACACTCTGCAAATTTCATCTCGTACATTCTTATGGACGGCCAAGTGATCGCGCAACCTTCTCCTTTCATAGAACGTTTTTGGGCAAAGTTTACATTTGTGAAGAGGTCGCTTTTCGTGACGCCGGTGCATGTGCAATAAAAGGTGCGATGACGTCAAAGCCTTCTCGCCACAAATAGAACAAACATAGGGCCTTTCGCCTGTGTGTGTACGCATATGGATTTTAATTTCTGTGGTTGTTGCGCACGGCTTGTTGCACACTTCACAATTGTACTGGTAGTCCTGTACGTGTCTTCTCAGATGTACCGTCAAATTATTACTTAAATGAAAACCATGGCCACAGACATTACATTTGAAGGGCAGCGAGCCATCGTGTTTTGCAAAATGTACTTTGAGCTGACCTAACCCAGGAAGCAATTTCCCACATTGGGAGCATTCAAAGGGCGCAACGTCGACTTCGAGGAATGCTATATGATCGTAAAATGGGTAGGTGGGTTTATGAATGGAATTATTTTTTTTGCATGCTATTTTTAGTTTCTTTTCATTTGAGCAGATTTTTCGTAACAGTATAATTTCTTTTTCCAAATCCTGTTGTAACAGTTTCAGACCAGTTTTTGTGTTAAATGCATTAAAAACAGCGCTTAAAGCCTCTCGGCGTCTATTTCTGAACCTATAAGCGATTTCCTCCTCATTCCAAAGGCAAGCATTTAATTTATATATTTCAGCCAAAGCTATGCATTGCGCATCATCCAATATTGAACTATTTCGAGGACATTTGTTATTAGAGTTGTATTTGCTCTGTAAAAAAATAAAATTATTTGTTTAATTAACAATTACATACATACATCTATTCAAAATAATTTTTAAAATTCTGGATTGATATTCTAGTTATAGTTATTTCCCACTTACGCGATGTCATGGTGGAATTATGCATAAAAAGGTTCTTTACTTGCATACAAAAACGGGGGATATGTTCAAAAACCGCATATATTGAGATACTCTATACGAAGCCTCCCGGAAAACCATATGTAAAAATCCAGTGAGGCAATATAAATAGAAAAATACCCAAAAATAATAATTACCTTTCAAAAAGCAAAGGGTTAAACTTTAAATTTAACTTTATAAAAAAATTTGCGTTATTTTCCGTGGCTCCTTGACCTACTCACGTCGTAATGAAGCCAACATAAACATAAAATACAAAAAGCTGTAAGAATTGCCGTTATTCAGCAATTTTTACTTTATTTTTATTTTTTTAACTCATATATGTATTTTATTGCGATCTGCTTTTTTTAACAAACTTAAATATTAAATAGGAAAATAATCATGTATGAAGTACACCCAGTTGAGCAACCATCTCTATTCGCAGGTATTAAATGTTATTAGAGATCTAATATGATTTCCTTTTAAGTCGCTGGAATGAGACTGTCGGGCAGGTCCTGTACTGCAACTCACTTCCGAGTGAATTTCAATCAAATTCGCTTTGAATTGAAATTGGAAGCGAAATAAATTGCAGAACCTGTCTGTATATGAGAAGTGAGTATTAAATAAGAGGTTTGGGTGATCAGGAACTTTTTGTTGGTGCGCCAAGGCGTGCCTTTTAATTTCGGAAGCAACAGGTGGGGTTTTAAGGTCACGGTTTATTTGGTTGTTTGTGACACAGAGCAGAGCGTTCACAATCATTCTAAGAGTTTTTGATTGGAATCTTTGGAGTATTTCTATATTGTAAGTTGCTGCAGAGTCCCTTAATTGTATTCCGTATGTCCATACTGGTTTTAAAACAAATGAATAGAGCAAGAACTTACTCTCGACTGAGGCTTGACACTTCGGGTTCAGTAACCAGTGTAAATTTCTGAGCTTCATTCCCAGTGCTTTGCGTTGGGGGATTTATTTCGCGGGAGAAACAAATTTCCGGAGAACAAACTCCCCGGGAGTATTAAGAATTGGCCCGTATATATTCTGGCAAAAATAGAATCAAATGTTAGCTACTCTAGCAAAAGTCGCTATAATACTTACTGTATGTATATATACACTTTCAAAAGTCGCTATAATATTTATTGTACGTATTTATACAAGTTCAAAAGTCTCCTTCTTCTGATAAACTTAGAAAACTACAAGAAAACGTGGTTGATTCGGTGCCTAGTGGAAGACGTCTTAAAAAAGAAGCAGTCTAACCTTCATTGAAGAGAGAACGCGAAAAGCTTAAAAACTTACTGTTTCAAAACTCGCTATATTTAATTTCTATATACAAAATTTGCAAAAACTACCACACTGCGATTTTAATGTTATTAGGCTCTTATTTAATTTAATGTTATTAGGCTCTTATTTATCCAAATTTTCAGATAATAAAAAGAAATATACAATTTGGATGGATCATTGAATCATGAAATATATAGATATATATATATTTTTTTAAGTCGGGTTTTTTTGTTGCTAAAAATTACTTGTTTCCTTAAAAATTTTGTGTTCGTATGGAACAGTAGCTTATGTCGAAAGGCTGGCTTTAGTATAATGCGGCATTTGCAGCATACGAATGCGAATGCGAACTGGCGCCAAGCCGTTGAAGAACTTTTGGCAAATCAATGTGGAAGAAATAGTTCCGATACTAGCAAGTCAATATTCTTATTAAGTCTCATCAAAAAAATCATTCTCGTTTAGAGAATAAAGGGAATGCAGCATTATACTAAAGCCAGCTTCCCGACATAAGCTACTATTCCATACGAACACAGAATTACTTTTTTCAATAAAGCTCAAAGTATAAATTTTTTGTGTTTTTGTCACTCTTTTTCCTTGTTGTTTTGCTGTTTTTCCTACTAATTACACAGATTTTTATATAGTTCAGTGGTTTAAGCGAACAATGATAGAAATATTAGCTCTGGGCGTACTCTGTATTGTGATTCGAAAAGCAAACAATTCGGAATCGAAAACTTGGCACTATAAATTTGTATTAGTCCGTTGTTTAAGCGAAAAAAATAGATTTTTAGCGATGCAAAATACGCTGGAATCGCAGTTTTATGACCCATTTATGTTTGGCGGCTGGTGTCTAGTTGCTGGTCTAGTAGCCGTGGCTACCAATATGATATTTTGCATTATGTATAGCTATGGTGACCCTCCGTCCTGTATTATACGGGGCAGTGCTCTTTTTTCGTCAATAGTCCTGGTAGTTTATTTATTTCATACGGGACGCCAAATGTTCTGTATTTCTTTTAATGACCCGCATTTTTGCCGTATTCCGTATGTATTTTGGCGCATTAACAGCTCATAAAAATGACATGCCTATGAACCAGTTTTTAAACCAGGACGCTTGTGATGAAGCGATGAGCACATATGTATGCTTAAAAAACTTTGTATGAATCGAAATTAAACGTTAATGAATGTTGTTAAAATTTCTAAGAGAAATTTAGCTTTTTGAAGGTTTAACATTCTGTGGAGCAAAGTATATTAAACTGTCAGCAATAGAACAGCTGATTTTATTTTTTTCGAGAATTTCGTCTTTCATAACTTGGTTTATCTATGTACATTGATTCCAAAACCAACAACAAACTACACACAGCTTGCTATTTTTCGGGAACTATTACCGGTGCAATGTGCAGTGGTATGGAGGCAATTTTAAATTTTTTGAAGAGAAGATATTCATAAGGCGAAACTACACCAAAATATTATTGGTGATTGTATGAGGGCTTGTATCTTCAACGTGAGTAACTCCAAAAAAGAAGGCTACCAGGAAAATGTTTTAAATGTAAAGCAGTATGGAATGGTACGCATTGCAATTCAGCTCGTTCCGGATGCTATTCATTGTGCTTGGTCGAAATCCGAGTCGAAAATAATGCATGAAATAAAACACGTATGTACTTCAAGAGCAGTCGGATAACAAGGTTTACTGCTAGGGAAAAGGGATATTTCCATACCCCATATACCATATATCTACACGTATTTTTTAAACAAACCTTCTTGCAGAGGACTTATTTAATTTGCAAAAGCCAAAAAATAAACCATTTGTTAGTAAATAAATTAAAAAATTGTATAGCTCACTTAATTTCAAACGCTTTTGCTTTTGTTTTGAAAAATTATAAAAATGAAATTGAGCGAAAACAAAAATCGAAGCCAAATAAAATTAAAAGAATCAACGTTGAACTGCGTCAAAATGGAAATAAAGGAGCACGAATTTTGATGTGAAGCAAAACTCTCTGGAAAGACAATACCTGTAATTATTGTACCATGTGGGCACCGTATGTATAGCGATTAATTTCAGTATACGAAAAACTCAGACAACATCCGAATTTACTTTTTCGATATGTACATTTCGAGGTAATTGGCAACTTTGCTCCAATGTGTTTAACAATTTATGGGCGTGTGTGATTCAGTAACAAAGTTCTATGGGGAAAGCTGGTGAATAATATTTTTATTATTGTGAGACAGTTTTGCCAATCTGCTGTGTAAAATTAAATCTTTTTTGACAGCAGTAAATTTTTGATAACCGCAGATTTTTTCGGGATAAAATATTACGAATTAAAGTGAAATTAATATTTTAAGAAAACATGTACCAACATTGATTGCAATTCATCAATTTAAGCTTTTATTTAACGAAAAATTATACACATCAACCATGATTCAATAACACAAGGTTATGTAATTTGTGACAGCTAAAATTTGACACTCCTTTATCTAGATTTGTATTTTGGAAGTAGGAGAAAGGGGAAGAATGTGATCTCCTTTTGCGAAAACGGTAGTAGAAAGGTACTAAGAAAGTATACAATTAGAAGTAAAATGTGTATTTTTAATTATATGTGAATTTGCAATATATTTGGTGTTTTAATGAAAATACTAAGCAATACGTAAATAAATAGATTTTTAATTTAAGTTATTCGTCATTTCCTGGAACAAATCTAGAATACCGACCGTTCAGCTATGCAAAAACAAAAAATGCAGATCAATAAAACTTTTTACGCTCATTTCAACCATGTAATAATTATTTAGCGCAAGTAAAATATTAAGACGTTTTAGAAGGTTACAATTTAATTCTTTGATTTTTTTCTTTAATATTAATATCTTATGAACCACATAACTGATTAAAAAACTAATAACGTCACCACAAAGATAATCAATCTTTCAGCTGATATACATAATTGAAATTGTTTTCTATATATATTTATACCAAAACCACTAAAAAACGAACATATGTTATTTTTTCATGAAATAACCTTTTTTGAAAAAAACTGCAGGATTAATGGTAAAGAAATTTATATTATTTAGAAAGTACAAGCTATTATCTTTAATTCGATGTACATATTTTATCACTAGAAACTGTAGAGTAAGCAACATTCTGCACAAGTAAAGGAGCCGATTTTATGTGTGGAAGTGAGAAGACTGTTTTATTACAAAACCTTTCTACTATTGAATCATGCACATCAACAATATTTGTGTTTGTAAAAATTTTCTCTGCATTTGTCAAAAATTCCTCATGAGCTAGTGAAATTTTATTCACCTCCTAGTAGGGATGTTCCGATACAAGTAAATACGAGTACGTACTCGATACTTTTGTTTCGCTACCAACTACTTTTTTTACTCGAATCGTTGTTTCGATTCGTACTTGGTATCGAAAGAAAAGTACTTGTATCGAATGGATTTGAGCAAGTTCCATATCTTGTCAGCGTCGTTTTTATGAAAAATAATTGCTTTAAGCAATGACACCGCCAAAATCTAAAGCATGGATATAGTTTTACAAAATTACTGATACCACAGCAAAGTGCAAGGAATGCTTTAAAACCGTAAAGTTTTGTGGGAACCGTTCAAAGGTTGAA